ATATATATATATATATATATATATTCCAATTATAATTTTACCTGCTGTAGAGACTGTATAAACGTTCAACTCACCTGGAATCCATCAATGTATCAACCTCAATTATCTGCTTTTAAATAAAATAATACATGATTTATACAATAAATAAATTGTATTATAAATAAGTGTTTATAAACAATTGCTATATTTATTATATATCCAATACATTATTCACATGTGGAATATTATGCCCTGATAAAACATTTCAAACCAAAAATGTGCTATTTTAGATATAAAAGTTTATACATACCAGCAGTCTGTAAGAGTGTCAAGTTGAACAAGATTGTGCTCAGAAATAATGCTTTATTTATTGCCAAATAAGTTCCTCCCAACCAAATGAGATATCTGAATATTCAACATTAAATTGACCTATTACAAAATAGTTCCCTTTTTTTTGTAAACGTTTATTCTAATAAGAGACAATTACATACATAATTTGGAACATTATTGTATGAATGTGATCAGTATGTTGCATTTAACACTATCAACCACAAAATAGTTTTGAATAACCTCAAATTTTTTGGCATTAGTGGAACTGCATTGGCATGGTTGAAATCATACTTATCGGACCGTCATTAGCTTGCAGCTGTAAATGAAGAGTTATCATATCGATCGCAAGTACAGTATGGAGTACCACAAGGCTCAGTACTAGGACTGTAGCTTTTCAACCTGTACATGTTACCCCTGAGAGATATCTTCAGGAAACATGGTGTTAGCTTTCACTTTATGCTGATGATACTCAGATCTGTATTTTCTTTATAGCCTGATGAAACATACCAATTCACAAAACTAACATAAAAGAGGAGGTGTTAATTATTAGACCAAAAACCTCCACACATAATATCATAGAATAGTCTCTAACATTTGATGGCTGCTCTGTCAAGTCTCCATTGCCAGTTAAGTGTGCTATCTGATAATAATTTTTCTTTTGAAAGCCACATGTCTAGCATTTGTGAAACTGCATTTTTCCACCTTAAAAGTATCTCTAAATTATAACATATACTCTCAATGTCAAATGCAGAAATGTCAATTCATGCGTTCATGACCTCAAGGCTAGATTAGGACAAGCTTAACCAAGATAAAAGTCCACTCACATATTTCAGAAGTACCTTCAGGGATTTGATTCTGGAACCAGGCCTGGTCGAAATGCTGGATTTTTCTGCATTAGGTAATGCAATTGTTATCGTATTAGCTACCACATATATATATATATATATATATATATATATATATATATTCCAATTATAATTTTACCTGCTGTAGAGACTGTATAAACGTTCAACTCACCTGGAATCCATCAATGTATCAACCTCAATTATCTGCTTTTAAATAAAATAATACATGTTTTATACAATAAAAAAATTGTATTATAAATAAGTGTTTATAAACAATTGCTATATTTATTATATATCCAATACATTATTCACATGTGGAATATTATGCCCTGATAAAACATTTCAAACCAAAAATGTGCTATTTTAGATATAAAAGTTTATACATACCAGCAGTCTGTAAGAGTGTCAAGTTGAACAAGATTGTGCTCAGAAATAATGCTTTATTTATTGCCAAATAAGTTCCTCCCAACCAAATGAGATATCTGAATATTCAACATTAAATTGACCTATTACAAAATAGTTCCCTTTTTTTTGTAAACGTTTATTCTAATAAGAGACAATTACATACATAATTTGGAACATTATTGTATGAATGTAATCAGTATGTTGTATATTTAACACTATCAACCACAAAATTGTTTTGAATAACCTCAAATTTTTTGGCATTAGTGGAACTGCATTGGCATGGTTGAAATCATACTTATCGGACCGTCATTAGCTTGCAGCTGTAAATGAAGAGTTATCATATCGATCGCAAGTACAGTATGGAGTACCACAAGGCTCAGTACTAGGACTGTAGCTTTTCAACCTGTACATGTTACCCCTGAGAGATATCTTCAGGAAACATGGTGTTAGCTTTCACTTTATGCTGATGATACTCAGATCTGTATTTTCTTTATAGCCTGATGAAACATACCAATTCACAAAACTAACATAAAAGAGGAGGTGTTAATTATTAGACCAAAAACCTCCACACATAATATCATAGAATAGTCTCTAACATTTGATGGCTGCTCTGTCAAGTCTCCATTGCCAGTTAAGTGTGCTATCTGATAATAATTTTTCTTTTGAAAGCCACATGTCTAGCATTTGTGAAACTGCATTTTTCCACCTTAAAAGTATCTCTAAATTATAACATATACTCTCAATGTCAAATGCAGAAATGTCAATTCATGCGTTCATGACCTCAAGGCTAGATTAGGACAAGCTTAACCAAGATAAAAGTCCACTCACATATTTCAGAAGTACCTTCAGGGATTTGATTCTGGAACCAGGCCTGGTCGAAATGCTGGATTTTTCTGCATTAGGTAATGCAATTGTTATCGTATTAGCTACCATGTCATATCATGCTTACAGTATGCTTGTTTTCTATTAAAATTAACAGTGGTTTGTGAAAATATATGCTTTATTAACAAATAATTTATCTGGAGCGTTTATGCTGGGATGTGCACCTAACTTGAAACTATTTAATGCAAATGTACTTAATTGTGTTCTAAAGGGAAAGTTAAAACCCTACAAGGCAAGTGTCCTAGCGTCGGTCCTGACTTGACCTTTTCTCCTTGTACTTTCAATATTTTCTCATGTTGTCGCATATATTTACTTTTTTTAAAGCACAACAACCTGACACAGGAGCTTGTGCTTTCTGTTTTTATGCAGTGATAAATTACACTTTAAGTAATTACAAAAAAAGGCAGTATTGAGTAGAGTTTTGGATAGGTGCATCCATTAAAAAAAAATTAAAATCCTACATATTAATGCAGTATATTGTGCCCTTTTTACAGACTTTTTAAGAGTGTACTGTATGTGTAAGGTTGGTCCAGCTAATGTGCATGTGCAATCCCAAGTGCACATTTTAACACCCTGGCTGTTTCCGAAGTTGCCTTATGCTTTATAGCTGAACTGTACTTGTATCAAAATTTTATGAAATGTTACAAAAATGATGTGAGAGACTGATAAAGTCACACGGAAAATGATTAATTCAACTTATTACTGCTAAAAGTGGATCTACAAGCAACTGAATCATGAGGTGTCCTTATGCCGAATTCACACTGCACGATATTAGCCCGATTTTTCACTCGCCGACAGGTTTTGTGAAATCGCCGACAAATGCCCGACATCGGAGGCAAATTGTTGCTCGTTCACGCGAGTGACAATCACGCAGTGTGAATTATCAAAGACGTGATTTGAGGGAATCGCCGACACGTCGCTGACGCCCGTGAAATATTTGGCATGCTAAATATCTGGAGCTGTCAGCGATTCACAATCACGCTGTGTGCAATGAGTTCTGACTGAAAAACACATCGGCGATGACTTACAGCCAATGAGAGACCAAGATACAGGGCAGCGGGAAGTTCGGGGAGGAGTTATATGAAACGTAGTTTGCGGACCAGTGTTGCCAAATCCGCGATTGACGCCGGTTGTGTTTTAT